TTTTTTTTGAAAAAAAAAAAATTTAATTAAAAATTAATGTAGAAAATTTTGGATTTTCTCAAGGGCTCGAATCAAATCGAGTACTCGAAAATTTCGAGTACCCGAAAGTTTCGGGTACCCGAAAAATTCGAGTACCCGAAATTATTCGAGCTTTTTATAAAGCTCGGCTCGGCCCGAGCTCGGCTCGAGCTCGAACTGAATAGGCTCGGCTCGGCTCGGCCCGAGCTCGGCTCGAGCTCGAACTGAATAGGCTCGGCTCGGCTCGGCTCGAAAAATGAAAAGCTCGAAAATACCCGCTCGAGCTTCGGGTTTCGAGCTTTTTGCACACCTCTAATAACTAGTAAATCCGGATTTAAATTAGTCCGATCTAGACCGAAGTTAGTCGGATTATATGCAACTAGCAAAAATATGAAATTAGTCTGATTAATTACGGAATTTATCCGACACAGCGCGGTTTATGGTCAGCTTATCCACTACAAGCCACAACAATAAGTGTATCCAAATTAGATGACTGATCCACCAGGGAAACACTCTTCCGATCTCTCGCGACGTCTGTTCTTTTTTTATGGCATAAAAACATGGGGCCTAAAGCACTTAGACGAAATTGATAAAATACAAACCGGTTATTACAAATGAGTACTCGATGCACCAAAAAACTGCCCAAATTATGCAATTAAATACGAAACACAGTTAATATCACTATCTGCAAAGACGATCGAAAGGGTTTTTAAATGGTTGGAAAAAATCGATAATATTCAAGATGCCCAAGAATATGTGTTAATAGGCTGATCGTTCTCGCAAATAACCCGAACAACCCATGTAAATTTAATTGGTTCATTCGGTCAGTCCCATAAAAAACGATATCAAAGTGTCAAAAAATGTCAAATAGTCGAAATAACTCTGACAGGGAGCGCATGGTAAAAATCTATTTTCATAATCGAATATTAAATTTAAGAAATTCAAAATAGTGTCCAAGAGTACTTAGATTTGGAAAATTTTTGACGCCATTTTATTCTTGCTCATCTGAAGCTCACAAACATTACCTAAAGTTTGAATAAAAGCAAAAATTTTAAATAAACACTATATCAACATTTTTTGTAACCCAGTGCTATTCGTGAGTTTTTGGGGTTACTGATTACTAAACTAGTGTTAGTTTTAAAATACAAAATGTCGTATTCAATATCATAAAATATTTTTCAAAAATTTTGGGCCCCGATTTTGTTTTTAGGAGTTAACAAATTGGTTATTTTGACAAAAATAATGAGGATTTTCGAAAAGCTAAAATTGTTGGGTAGTTTTATCGCCTAGTGCAATCTAGGGCAATTTCTTCGTTTTGAAAGTGGAATGCAATTTTTTTTAATTTTAAAGTTTGAGGTGCCAACTTCCTGTGCATATCAAAGGCAGCATAGAATGTAGTCATAATTAAGGACTGTAGAGTTTAGTGGTAGACCCCAGACAATATACGAGAGCCTCACCTCTTCTGTTTCCTGGTAAACTCCTGCGCCAGAACCACTTTGATTGCTGTCAAGGAAATGTTGTCATTTTGTGATTGAGGGACACGTAAGGCTCTCTCAAGTGTTCCAATTATTTATAAAGAGCATTCCAATTTCAATCAAATTTTATTTTAGGAGTAAGTATAGTGATAGAAACAATATCCATAAATATTTTTTTTAAGAAATGTTGTAACTGAAGTAATTAATAATTAAAGTTTTTAACATCTTTTCTGAAAAAAATGAATTACTTTCACGGTAAAAAGAAACATCTTAAAATACATTGTAGTCACTTTTAAGATATTCAAAACATATTTTTCCATCTTCCATCTTAGAAACCAATGCATTTTAAGATGTTTTTGATAACTTTTTCGAAACAACTTAGAAGTGACTACAATAGTATCTTAAAATAAGATGCCTTCTGCATGGTTGCCACACAACCTGGAAAACCTGGAAATAACATGGAAATTGAAAAAGGGTATGGAAAACCTGGAAATAGCATGGAATTTGAACGAATTTCTGGAATTTTTTTTGGGTTAATGAAAGATATTAAGAAAAATTCCATTCAACATGTTATTTTTCTTTAAAAATGTTAACATGCAATTTTCCCTTTTCCATGTTATCTTCTCTTTAAATTAATTTAATTTTTTTAAATTATTGACTAAAACTGTGAAAAGTGTTGTTAAGATTGTTCTAAAAAAAAGATTTTTTACGATTGTCAAAATTTTTTGTTACTAATTGCTTTTTGTTCAAGATTTTGAACAAAGTTTAAAGATGAAAATTATTTAATTTAGACATGACTTCAATGTTCTAATTATGGCTGATTCTTCTGAAAGTGACATTTTTTATATCTCGATTAATTTTATAAAATCTACTCTCTAATAATATTATTAACCATTGTCATAGTAAAAATTTATTATTTATAAGAAAACTAAATTTTTATGGTTTTTTTCAAACTCTTAGAAATTTTTTAAAAATAGTGACAAAAAAATACAATGTTTTTTCTATCATTATGTGCATTTTAAAAATTTTTGGACCTCCGTTTTATATGTGATAAAAATGTTTAAATTTGTCTTCAGTTTAAGTTAAAATTACTTCACGATGATTAATGATATTTATATGTACATTAAAAATATTCTAAAAAAATGTGAATGCACATTAAAATAAAGTTAATGGTCTGATGTTTAATTTTTCTATATAACATTTATAAAAAAGAGGAATATTATTGCTTTTATAAATATTTAAATTTTACATATTGGCCCGAGTAAAATTCAAAGAAGAAAGACTTTAATATTTTCAAATTGATTTTGCACAACTTAAATTCTTACTTTTGAGTATGAAATAAAGTAGTTTCAATAGAAGAAACCATATAATTTAAAAAAAAAATTGAAAAATCAAATATAAAAAGTATCACTTTCAGAAAAATAAACATAAAAATGCCTGTGATTGTAACTGTTTAAGAGAACATTAATTTATAACTACATAATAATGAATATTGTTAACACTTTTGTAAAATACTTGTTTTTTCATCACAAATAATTCCTTAATTTCAACCTAGAATTTTTAATATTTCTAACCTGGAAAACCTGGAAAAAGCCTGGAATTTTGAAATCTAGATTTTGTGGCAACCATGCTTCTGTTTACATTAGTAAAATCTATTGACAGAATTAAGATAGAAGAAAATTTTAAAATTCCCTTAACCTTCGCGCTACTAAAGATTTTTGTATAGCGGACTGTGAAGAGTTACCCGGGGTAACCCAAAAGCACTTTTATTTTTATAATCCAAAAACGATTTAAATTCATCAAAGTTTTTCGATATAATTATGTGTTAATACAAATACTGTATTTTAATAATGTTTCTATGCATATTGCATTTGTTTAAACAATTTACTATTGCAAAATCATATAATTTTCAAATAAACAGAAAGATTAGTAAATTTTTTCAACAGAATTCACCTATAGAAAGTTGCAGTTTTTTCACAATTTTGCAATTTACTAAACTCTATATGATTACAGATAAAGAATAAAAATTGAATTATTATTTAAACAATTTTTAAACAAATTATTGTTGTTTACCAACTTTTTACAGAACAATAATTAAAAACAGTTGGCAGTGTCTAAAGTCAGTTAAGAAGAACCCAGTGAGAAATTGCCAATAGACTTTAATCGGTCCAATATCGATCCAATATTGGTTGCCGTGCTGGGCGCCGATTGACTCCCAATATTGGACCAATATGGGCTGATGCTTGGGATGTAACGGCATCGCCAATCATCGGTTGTCAATATTGGTCCAATATTGGCCGAATATTGGCAACCAAGAGAAAAAAATTTTTTTAAATAAATTTTTTTTAATTAAATAATAATAATAAAAAATTAATGTTTATAATTTTTGTTTAATATATTTATTTGTTTAATTATTTATTTTTAATAATTCATGTAAATAATAAATAATTTATTATTTATAAATTATAATAATTTAAAAATGCAGCAGCTATTAGAAAATAGCATTCTGCAAAAAAATTCTATCATTGAAAAATCAATGATAGGCGAGAGAAATCCGCGTCTTTAAATAGATTCGCAGATGATAGACAAGAGATATCCGCGTCATTAAACGGATTCGCAGATATACTCTGGTCTCGCGACGAATCTCTCGATACTTATATACACTGGAGTCGCCGTGTCAGTTGCGAGAACGGTTACAGCGTCCCTCTTGCGGCAGAGATAAGAATTGTCACGTAAACTGCTAAATCGCTTTACCGACCGCCTTATTATACCCGCAGTTTACGTGACAATTCTTATCTCTGCCGCAAGAGGGACGCTGTAACCGTTCTCGCAACTGACACGGCGACTCCAGTGTATATAAGTATCGAGAGATTCGTCGCGAGACCAGAGTATATCTGCGAATCTATTTAAAGACGCGGATTTCTCTCGCCTATCATTGATTTTTCAATGATAGAATTTTTTTGCAGAATGCTATTTTCTAATAGCTGCTGCATTTTTAAATCATTATAATTTATAAATAATAAATTATTTATTATTTACATGAATTATTAAAAATAAATAATTAAACAAATAAATATATTAAACAAAAATTATAAACATTAATTTTTTATTATTATTATTTAATTAAAAAAAATTTATTTAAAAAAATTTTTTTCTCTTGGTTGCCAATATTCGGCCAATATTGGACCAATATTGACAACCGATGATTGGCGATGCCGTTACATCCCAAGCATCAGCCCATATTGGTCCAATATTGGGAGCCTTTATTGGACCGATGATCGGTCTCTTGGCTCCCAATATTGGACCGATATTGGACCGGTGAGAAATTTCTCACTGGGAAGAAGAAGAAATTTTTACGGTTACGAAACAGAATTTTAAAAAATTGGCACTAAAAATTCTTACTTGGGGGTATTCGGGGTCGCTAATTACAAAATTTTCAAAAATTCAACGGATTCACTTAAAACATCTGTTACAATATTAAATTTACATGATTAATTTTTCTTACAGAAAAAAGTTGAAAAAAATGTTCTCCTTCTTTATAAACTAAACAAGGAGCCTATTCTGGATAGATATAAACATACTGAGTTCCTGAAAAAATCGTTGATATACTTAACTACACCTTACGAGGTAAATTAATTCTATTATTCTTAAATAATAGTTGTGATTGCAGTTCATTTACTTTATGAACTTTATTTTCAGTGTTTAGATAGTAGTAGGCCTTGGTTATGTTATTGGATTCTTCATTCTCTTCAAATTTTAAATGAACGGCTCGAAGATAAGATTTATTCAAATATTGTCAAGTTTCTATCTAAATGCCAGTCAAGAAACGGTGGATTCGGTGGTGGACCAGGTCAGCTTCCTCATCTTGCTACAACGTATGCTGCCGTTAATGCTCTTTACATAATTGGTACAAAAGAAGCTTATGAAGCAATAAACAGGTATGATCACTAAAAAGTGATGCAATCACTTTTTATCAAATATTAAAAGCCAAGGAGCATAGAAAAGTAATACAGTTTGTTGTCATTTTTAGGGTTTTGTGGCCAATTGCCAAAACTCTTATAGCGAGACTTCGGTGTCCGTCCGTAGTTTTTACGTCTTAAGTCTTATGTAATAAGTTTTAAGTCTTAAGTCTTATGTAATAAGTCTTAACCCAGTAAAAAAGGATTTTTTAATATAGCATTTTGGACGATTGAGCAGGCCGTCTGCTCAATTGTCCAAACGGCATTTGGACAATTGGACTGGTTGCTCAATTATCCGATGCATTAAGTCCAATCATCCTAAATGTTTTTCGTGGCTAAAAAACTGCTGAATTAAGAAAAAAGTACTGAAATGTTACAGAAACTTTAGAGAATTCTTAATTCCAGACAAATACAGAAAAATTAGGTATAAAAATACCTCGAGTGAGGAAAAAGAACAAGATTTCTAAAATATCACTTTTTAACTGACAGTGCAATGCTGTACTTGGAATTTATTTGGTAAAGAAGTGAGGATTCTGATAAAGAGAAACACTTCATTATCCTCTCTCAATACTCCTCATGTGGTAATATGTATATTTATTTTTTTATCATTTTAGGCCACGAAACCCTATGATGTAGGCGCATTGCGCCTGCTTCTCTGACTGATTTTTAGTACTTCTGTAAATTTATAGAATATACTCGCATATATAGGTTCATTTTTTGCTTTAAATAATTTGAATTTTGCAAATTACTTTCTCAGAAGTCTTTAAAAAATATTCTTTGTGACACTGGTTTCACCTTAATTTTCTTTATTTAGAAGTGAAAAATGTTTTAGGAAAGCTCTGGTTAGATTCCTGATGTCATTGCATGGAGAGGACGGAAGTTTCAGCATGCATTATGATGGTGAAGCAGATATCAGAGGTGCCTACTGTGCTCTGACTGTTGCAAAATTAACAAATACTTTTAGCCCTGAAATATTTAAGGATACTGCAAGGTGGATACAGAGGTGTCAGACCTGGGAAGGTGGATTTGGCGGTTGTCCTGGTATGGAAGCGCATGGTGGATATGCATTGTGCGGATTAGCTTCACTCGTACTGTTAGGAGAAACGGATCTTTGCAATTTGAAATCATTGATTGTAAGTACACTACACGTTATCTTAAGAAAGCTCTAACTATTATTGCTGTTGTAGCACTGGCTTCTTTTATTATCTATTAACAGTCCATTACTATACACAAATTTTTGTAGGTAATCTGATAAAAAGTAGAACTTCTTTATCGACTTGCTAACAGTTGCCTTGTTGGTTATTTTCATTTTTTTGTTGATTGTCGGATTGATGACAATCACCCAAAAAAAGTTTCGATTCTTTTAAAGTCTTCCACGTTCTGTTCAGGATGGAAATTACTTGCAACTATCTAAGATACTATTTATCCCATATGCACAAAAATAGTGCTTTTAGATAGCTGACGAAAGAAAGGGACTAAAGTCATTCATTTGTTCGACCGCATGAGAATGAACACGGAAACAAAGGAAAGGAAAAAGTTCCTTCAAACTGGAGGACTAATTTTTCAAAATTGTTCAAATCTTATTGACATTTGTTACTCATGGGTATTTCGATGGGTGTTACGAAGAAAAACACTCTTGAGTTTGGGTGCAATAATAAGTCAGTTTTGCTTTAATTTTGTTTCGTTTCCATTTTGTAACACACTAAATGTTGAAATTTTTCAAACATTAGTTTTGGATTGAGACGAAACTAAAATAAGTCATCAGAAAGTAAATTTTAATTTGGTTTCGTTTCAACATCGTTCCCTATTTCATTCCATTTTTAATAAAAATAAAATATTTATTATTAATTTCCAAAAGTACAAGAACAAATATCAACAAGAGCCTTCATTTTAAATTGAAATGTTTTATTTATTTTTTAGCGATGGGCAGTTAACAAACAAATGATTTTAGAGGGTGGATTTCAAGGAAGAACGAATAAACTAGTAGATGGATGCTATTCATTTTGGCACGGTGGGATTTTTCCAACAATTCATGCCATTCTATTAAAACAAAATCCTACTCTAAACATGAAACATTGGCTTTTCAATCAACATGCTTTACAAGAGTATTTATTAATTTGTTGTCAAGATTCGGATGGCGGACTTTTAGATAAACCAGAGAAGTAAACATTTTTTTAATTAATAAATCATGCACTGAAAAAACATTGGTCGAAAAGTTAACTTTTAATGTATTACTGTTGGGTTAAAGACAATTTATCGAACGGCTCAACTTTGGTGGTCCAAATTTTGACCTACAGTTATTGCGCTATTACTGCAAACGCAGCATTCGACCACAATTTTCTCAGTGTACCGAGCTACTTCTATTGTCTATACTATACTGTTTTAATACATATTTGTAAATAATGAGTAACTTCAAATAAATTTAAGGTTGAAAGATTAAAAATAGTTGACAAAAGTTATCCGCTTCTCCATTATTAATCATTGCTTTATAAGTAGCTATTGACTGAAGTCGATATTGTAAAATTTTTCCAATCTATTCTAAGTGATAAAGTGCAATTCTTAAGAGATTAATTTTAAGCTTCTTAAATCAAGTATTTTCTATAATATGAAATTCATGTCCGTAATGTTGTTAAATATCTTGTTTCCAGAAGTCGTGATGTGTACCATACTTGTTATGCTTTGAGTGGATTATCTGTGGCACAAAACTCAGAGTGTCCATTGATAACTGGTCCACAAGATATTAATTCTGTTAAACCTATTCATTCGGTCTACAATCTAGAACTTTCAACAGTAATGAATGGATTAGCTTATTTTAAACTGTTACCAGATACAGTGAATAATAAAATTGTTTAACGTTAAAACTTGAATAAAAATTTTTGAAAAAATTATTTGTTTATTGTAATTAACCACACAGGTTTACAAATTAAAAACTTTTTTTTGCCAATCAAACAAAACATTTTTTTTCGAATAGTAGGTGTTTGTTGAGTAAGAAAATCATAGTTTTAATTTTTTTTCCCTCGCGCAGTTTTTCTGTAGCTTCAAATTTTGCATTTTCGAGGTGCGGCGCCACTTAAACTTACCTGCAGGAAAATTAGCTTGTCAAAATATAATAAATGAGGTATCATTGGAAAGGTTATTAAATTACCTTTCGATCCATAGGTCACAGAATAAAATTCAATAAAAATTGAGAGAGTTACAGTCGATTAAAGATGAAATTTTATGACAATTTTGATGATTTTTAGACATTTGAGTAACTTCTACTATTTTTTTCTACGTCATACAGGAAAGAATGTTTAGATTTTAATTTTTTTATTGATAGACTATATCATTACAAAAATTTTGAGCCCTTGTGGACCTCGATTGGATAAAAAATGACAATTCTACACTAAATTTAGTGAACGAAACTACATTCTTCATTTTTAGTATCCCTTAAACATTTGCAGCTAAAATTCAAGTAATAAAATTTGGTTAAGTGCTAAAGTTACTGAAATCACTAATCAAGAGTTTCTGAAGTCGTAGATTTCGAATGGAATGTTAGTTTTCTAAATTTCAAAATGGCGGATCCAATATGGCGGACAAGTTTTTGAAAATCGATGAAATTCGTCTCAAATTCGTTACTCGGGGGTTTTTGGGGTCGCTGAATACGAATCCGATGTCAGATTTCAAAAATTAAAAATGGCGGATCCAGTATGTGCGAATTCGATGGATTTTAAAAAACTCGTTCACCATTATGAATCCATAATTTTCAATTTTTGAAATCTGACATCAGATTCGTAATCAGCGACCCCGAAAACCCCCGAGTAACGAATTTGAGACGAATTTCATCGATTTTCAAAAACTTGTCCGCCATATTGGATCCGCCATTTTGAAATTTGCAAAACTAACATTCCATTCGAAATCTACGACTTCAGAAACTCTTGATTAGTGATTTCAGTAACTTTAGCACTTAATCAAATTTTATTACTTGAATTTTTGCTGCAAATGTTTAAGGGATACTAAAAATGAAGAATGTAGTTTCGTTCACTAAATTTAGTATAGAATTGTCATTTTTTATACAATCGAGGTCCACAAGGGCTCAAAATTTTTGTAATGATATAGTCTATCAATAAAAAAATTAAAACCTAAACATTCTTTCCTGTTTGATGTAGATAAAAATAGTAAAAGTTACTCAAATGTCTAAAAATCATCAAAATTGTCATGAAATTTCATCTTTAATCGACTGTAACTCTCTCAATTTTTGTTGAATTTTATTCTGTGACCTATGGATCGAAAGGTAATTTAATAACCTTTCCAATGATACCTCATTTATTATATTTTGACAAGCTAATTTTCCTGCAGGTAAGTTTAACTGGCGCCGCACCTCGAAAATGCAAAATTTGAAGCTACAGAAAAACTGCGCGAGGGAAAAAAATGAAAACTATGATTTTCTTACTCAACAAACACCTACTATTCGAAAAAAAAATGTTTTGTTCAATTATTGGCAATTTCACTGTAAACCAGTGCCATTAACGACCAATGTGATAATCGTTCATGAAATAAAGGAAAATGTCAGGGTTGGTCCATCGCAATCCTGAGTGATGCGTTGTGAATGTAAATACGATTAGCTTCTTATAAAAATACCTGTTACTTCAAATGTATAGTAATGCACTTCGAGCGAGTCTATTTAGCCTGATAAGCAGTAGCAGAAGTGATTAGCCTTTTAAAGGAAAACGAGTGTAAAGTTGCAGAAAATAGAGGCAGAATAATGTCTGAAAAAGATTGAAGAGAAAACAAGGATGTAAAATGTAAAGTGCCAAGTTCTTCCATTTGACCCAGCTGCTCAGTAAAGTGGCCATTATTGCCCTAGGGTAATATTAAGTACTTTATTAATCTGTGATTTAAATAACATTGTTCGAGAAGCAAAGATTTTTGAACAGATTTTCTGCTTAAAAAATAGTAAAACTGAATATCTTTACATAATTCTAGTTCCGGCGATACCCATATATGTGACGCAGATGTGGTAAAAATTTCATAAGAATCGGTCCAGTAGCTTCCGAGCAAAACATTATACACACACGGATAAAAAAGTATAGTCGGAACACCCATATTTCATTGTAAATTGATATATACCATATTACTAATAAAGATACAGACATCCATATTAGTAATTTCTCTATCTGATTTACAAATTAGCAATACTTGTTTGACAACTTAAACATACGCATTTTTTAATTTCTCATTTGTTTTGGAAAAATAAACATAATTTTTTAACCATCAATTTGATGGCAAAATCTACTAATCCTTTTCTATTAGCGCAGCATGAAAAAACGGTTTTCCATTTTTTTAAACACGTTCCTGAGTAAGCAAAAATCTAATTTCAGATATAAAAATAAAATTTCAAATAATTAAATTATAGTTGATACACTGAAAAAAAAGTTCTGGTTAGGGTATATTTAACACGATATTCTAGTTAAAACAACCAGAATTCTGGTTAAATTAACTAGAATTCTGGTTAACCTAACCAGAAAAAATCTAGTTAGGGCATATTTAACACGAAATTCTAGTTAAAAACAGGTTTTCTGGTAATTCCAACCAGAACTTTTTTTTCAGTGTAGAAATTTCAGTTACATTACCCTAACCTAAAAATTAATTTTCTTTACTTTTATATAGATTTGCGAATTTATCACTCGGTAAATGAATAGAGGATGGGAGACGTTTATCAATCTTTCCGAGTCAGAGTCTCTTTTCTTTACTTTTATTTCCGTCATATTGGATTCGCCATTTTAAATTTTCAAAATCTGACTTCAGATGTGTAATTAGCAACCCTAAAAATAGTAAGTAAAAACTTGTTTATTTTTCGAAAATTATAAATTTTTACCAAGAATATTGATAATTTTAGCTTTCTTTGAGATAATAGAATATGTAAAATTTGAAAATTTCTATAAATAATTAATTGGATGTTGTTAGATGAATAATTCTGAAGAGAAGTAGACTATTCCGATCAAAAAATATTCAATTTTGACGATTTGAGAGTAAATTTTTATATAAAAAATACGTGTTAAAATTCGTTACCTTCAGCTAGGCACTATTAAATATTAATTGAAAGAAAAATAAAAAAATAGGTACGTTTTTTTTATTTCATATTTTACAAAGAATAATCTTTCTATTCATTCATTCTTATAATTCTTATTTCTTCCAGTTGGCAAACTCTGATAGGGTGAGACAAACTTTTGTGTGTGGAATTGAAGAGGTCCCTTCAAATTTAATTGATATTGCGAAATAAAATAGCTGTACTTGAGAAGAGTGAAAAATAATATTTATGTATGTATAGTGTATACATAGAATTATATTTCATCAAAATTATTCATCCAATGTACTTTAAAGAAAATTGATTATGAATGAATTCAATTTTTAATTAAATTTTCCGAAAAGAATTTTCACCGATATAAATGTAATTGTTGAGAACAAAAAGATTACTTTTAAGTAAAGTAAACCATAAATGTAAAGATTTAATTTTTAAACAGAAATCTATTAAGACTTAAATGAAGCAATAGTGAGAATATAATTCTCAGTAAATAATAATAATAATAATAATAATATCATCAGTAAATATAACTCTTATGCACATATTAGTTGAGATAATTCCTATTCAAAATTTCAAGGAAAAGCATTATAATTAATTATTATTATTTATATACTCTAATAGTATCTGACCTGATAAATGACAAAAATTACAAAAATGTTTTACTTTAGTGTTGTGAACGTTACTAAGGTTCTGCAATCTCAAACTAAATTTTCATTTATTGACAATACGAAGTAAAAAATCGGACAAGTGCGAGTTTTACTCACACAAAATCTTAGGGTTCCGTACACGAAACGATTTTATTTAGTATAATAAAATACGAAGAAATGAAAATAATATGTGAGAAAATTGGCTCGTAAATGCACCAGAAACCATGCTTCCAATAGGTACGGTCTACAATTGGAAAAATTTAGATGGTGACCACTTTTTTCGAAATTTTTCAATTTTTGGGAAATACTACGATTTAATCAATTCCAATCACATTTTAAATATTTTTTTCAGATTCTACATTGAAAAATACATGTCCATGCCAAGTTTTAATACAATCGGTTGAAAGAAATACAATACAATATTATGTTGCTAAGATGCAATACCTATTAGATTCTGAATAATTTAAAACAAAAATAATTCTTTATAAACGATTACTAAGAAGCAAAAGTACAATTCATTTGTAAATAGAATTAAATACTTTATCGTTTTCAAAGACTATATTACTTAATACTTCTAAATTATAATAATAGATTAGATTTCTCTTATTTAAATGTTGTTTCTTACCACCCGCTATTTTAGTGGAAATTTTGTTTCTAGGGCACGGAAAAATTAAGGTGCACATGCTGTACCTATCGAAGAATTTGTCCAATAATTAACTTCACTCATATAAAAACAATAGGAAATTAATAAGTGTGAAGTGAATTGAATACTAAAATTTTTAGATAGGGATAACCGGTGCACCATAAGGTACAGATGTTGCCCCAAAAATTTTTCCGTGGGGGTTCTTTAGAATAAAGCTACTTGCACAGTCTCTTTACAAGAAAAGATCGTCAAGTTTGCATCGACGAAATTGATGGGCTACAAAATGTTATTCTATTTTGAAATCAATTGCACACGTCTTTTTAGCTGCTAAGTGACCTCTTTTCAAGATGTTAGCAATAGACAAATTTTTCTAATAATTTTACAAAACACAAAACCATTTAAGAAACTTTCGGGTGCAGAATTGGTAAAAACAGACTTTTTTAAACTCTTATTGTAAGAAATGTAGTATAGTTATTGCAAAAATTTCTTTTGGATATTGGTACATATTACAAGAAGAAAATTTAAAAAAAAATT